TAGGAGGAGGACCCTGCAGGAATTCCAGTGGTGACTGTTAGTGGTTGTTGACAGTTGAATGGGGGGGGGTATGTATGATAGAAGAAAGGTGGGAGGGAGGGAATGACGGCGCGGTGAAAGGACAGGGCAGGGGCAGATCAGATAGGTTTTGGCTAGTTGGTAACCCAATTTTGGTAACGGGGTATAGTACGAGTACAGTACCGGTACAGGTTCGACAGATCTGAAAAGGCAAACAAGCAGGAACAAGGTCATGCTGGAAATACACGGGCTTTTTGTAATCTCTCCTATTGATTACTGTAATGGCCGGTATCAGTGCCAGATAACTTACTATGCATGGTATTTTGCAAACTATGGCCGGTGAAGTTGAAGTGCGAACGGCGAAGGGAGAAAAAAAAAAAAAAAAAAAAAAATACCACCAGATCCTATCATACTTGTATACAGTTACCATGGCCCCAATGCAGGAGAAAACGCACCCCCGTAATTATACCGTCTGCAGGGAGATCGAGAAGCCTGAAAGCAAGCTATTTTTGAACATGGGGAACGGCAGTCCAGTCAAAGGAAGTTTCCACCCACTTCTTCACTCTCTTGGCTACAGTTGGTTCCCTCCCTTTGTTTGTAGCTGTGGATCCCCAAAGCATTCTCTGGTCATTTCGCCATCGTTTCTTCAACCCTCAGAACCCATAACTGACACTGCCGGTACTTCACCAGCTGATGCTAGCATTTGGCCCGCCACTGGAGCACAGCGGTTCAGAACTGTTTAGGCGCCCCACCGTTGCCATGACGTGATGCCTCACCAATCGCGACCGAGCTCGCTGCTTGAGCACATATGCTTGCGCCTGAGGTGGCTCTGGCCTGGTTAATCTTGTATCATTTATCCTAGTCCTACCCGAAACGTTTTTAGCAAGTCCTGGTGCAAGAGTTTGCTGTAAATAGTTTTGTGCAGATATCCTAACTTATGATACCGTATCTGCAGACGACCTCTCATCGTGAATCACTCGTCTCTGCATCCGGTGACAGGAGCATATACCGGCAGGCGGGTGGCCGGGGACTTTTTTCTTCCTGGTGCCTGGAGAAAGGATGGGTGGTGATTTGCTGCTTGGTGCACTGCTATTTATTAGATTATAACGTTATCATAATCGCAGCACTCGGAGTGTTCGTGGCTGTTATTGTATGGTTAAGCGAGAGATAAGCCAGGTGCGGGGACACCCCCTAAACCCTTCCTAGAGCTTACAATGTCATGCAGTATACGAGTAGATACCGTAGATTTTTAGGGCTATTATTAACCGAGAGCTATGAGTACTAGTACGAGCACAATGGCGCACCTAAACATGCTCCCTTTGAAAAAAAAAAAAAAAATAGAATTGTGGGAAATGCGGTGCGGTAGGCTCCTCGATCAGACTTGCAGCGGCGCGAGGGATACCCAGGGACCCGGAGTACCGAGCCTGATAACGAGCCGACTTGGCGGGATGCTGTGAACCTGATTGGTTCAAATCTACAAGTACGATATGATATATCTGGAGTCACCCGTTACCTCCACCAGCGATGTGGCTGTGGTGGGGGAAGACCCCAACTGTCGGAAATCGATATCACAAGGCATTTCCCGGCCCGTGACCTCCCCTCTTATAATACTCCAATCCCCTGAACATAATGGATCACTCGGTAGGCCTTCCATGACTAGCCAGTTTGAGAGCGTGGTGCGGGCGAGTCAGACTGATCTTATCGGAAGGGAGGATTTTGTGCGTACCGTACTGTGTCATAAACGGTATCATACCTGGAAAATCCTTCAAGTAATTTCATCAGAGCTTTTGCGCACCAAGCCCCAATGGTGCCTCCCAGAGGGCGCCGAGGGCAGAAGTGTGTGAACGCACTAAAATGTGGATGGAAAATAAACTAGAAATATTGTATCGGTGTATGGGAAATTAATCGTTTGAAGGGTTGTTGCTTTGTCACCTGTGTTCGCTGACTGGAGTTTGGAACGAACAACATCTAGGATTAAGATAGTTGACGATGGAAGGCGCGATTGGGCGTGTGGTATGATGCATTGATCCTGGTATTCCATGTTTAGGCGCAAGTCATTAGACAAAAGAGGCTGTTGGGTGGGATCCAGTAAGCCCCTAAAATTACATCTCCGAGTATGTGGTCTGAAGCCTAGGCGCAGGTTTCAAGATGCCCCCGTAGATGAGGAGCTATTAACGGAGAGTGGGTGTTCCCAGCCATTAGAGATCGCGGAGAAACGAGGAGCACCTATCGCCACCATGAATAGAGTAAACCCCGTTGCCCAATAGCGTTTCGGGGGTTGGTATGTCCTCTCAAACAATTATGTGTTTCCGGATCTTTCCCCAGAGCATCTGCGGTGACTGGCGGATGATATACCGGTACAACTACTCTTCTTCTCATTTGTCGTGGAATACGTCGGGTCTTCATGACCGGACAGGTGGTGGGAAGGCGCACTTAATATCTATTTCTGACGGTTAAACTATAATAAACCATTACCTCGATTGAAATGCGACAAGGGCTATGTCGATTATTGGGGTCAATTTCTGAAAGCAGTGGAATGAGGTTAAAAATGTATCTACCAGTGATGAAATGGGAATCCATAAATATACCCTCTCTTATCACGAAGCGCATCTCCCTGCCGAGGAGTTTTGTGTGGCCTGAAAATAAAATAAAATTCGGGCTCGAAAGTTAGTCCCTCTCGTTGGATATCGTCATCCAGCCTACCACGGGTTGTATCAAAGAGATGTCTATACGTCGTAGTATGACACCTCTAAGAGAGTCTTTATGTATTTAAGGGACCTGTTTATCCCACCTGGAGAGATAGTCATTTGAAGATATATTTCCTGCATATTTTTGTCTTCCATTGAACCCGGTTATTACAACACTTTTTTCCCAGATGACGGATGACGGATGTAGGGTGAGATTTCATGACGCTCAGGGAGTCTAGCTCAGCTCAGACGACATCCGCAGTTGAAAGCAACCTAGCATGGAAATCAACAGGAGTAACACACCAAACATGTGCTAGTATCTCCCGATCACTTCCTTTGCTCTTTCATCATCCGCGCTTACTTTCAATTCCTCTGCACATCGTCTCTCGACGTTTCGGATACAGAGAGAACCAACACCTGCCCAGTGAATGTATGACTCGGGGAGGGCCCAATCTCCAAAGGTCTCGTCTATCCCGTATCAATACCGGTGCGGTGTTCGGGAGATTGTCGCTGTGCTTTGCTTTTGACGGATCGAGCTTTGGGGGGGGAGGGAAAAACCGCCGAGATCTATGCCTGCAAGGTGGGATCTGAGGTGGCCCAATTTGGTAAAACTATTTGACTGCAGCCACTATAGTTAGCGGGTACTGGGCGTTTTTTTCCTTTCCTTTTGCTACAGAATGTGGGGCCTAGAGTGGCCATGGAAGCAATTGGCTGCGTGTCGATACGGTGGGCTAAAGCTTTGGTTCATGGAATTGTTAATGGCATTACCTCGACGGCGCGGCGTGAGGGTTGTTAAATTGTGGTGGGGGGTGTGATCTAGGATGCTGAACACAGGGATGGGTTAAAGGATCTACGGTAGTTCAGTAGCAGAATAGGATCCGCGGGTACTCGAGTACCGTAGGGTATTTAAACACCTTACCGTATTTTCCATTCGTGGCTTTTTTTTTTTTCCTGCAGGTTAAGTTGATAGGCTACCGGTAGAGGATAGCAGGTGCCCTTGATATATCTTCTCAGGGGTGGATGTTATCATAATATTATTCAACGCTTGTTGGCTGCCACAGCACAGTACGTTGCACATGACAAAATTTCCTAACGTTGGGTGGCGCGATTCGCAATTTTTCATCACCAAATGAAGCCCTCGTTGAGTTTTGACCTAAAGCTCGGGACCGGTTCTGACTCAACATTGGCATGTTCGGGATTTAAACCAAACCAAAAACCCGATTCCGGCTTCGGACAAGGTATCATCATATCAGGTATCGTGCAAGTACCGCGTCGGGGTCTGCAGCTTCGAATCTATAATACTTTACAGTGCTATGCTCTCTCTCCCCTATCCATCCTCTCGGCGCCTGGTATTTCAACTCAATCCTCACTCCCCCACCTTGCAACCATCATCATCGACGTGATCCCGAGAATTGGGATTGCTTGCTACGAAATATCTTCCCCCCCTCCTCAACACACGAACTCCGGATGGTAGGATAACTTCCCCCGCATTTTAACCCGCACGGGACATCGATCCCTCCCCGCCTACTTAGCGCCTCCCCCACCATATAGGCCATTTCTTGTTAAAGATCGCTGACTATTGTTTCCTGCTCCCCCAGAGTTATACCCCCTCCCAACGCTTTGCTATTCAGCAGTTTATCGCCTTCACGGCATGCCCTGAGCGTACAGCTGCTAAGGTGGTTATCTACCTCTCACCCTTATCACCTCTTCCTCCTTCCTGTATTGCAGGGGCTTGCATGGCCTGGGACCAGCATGATGGAACACGAAAGGCAAAAGAATAGGGAGGCTAACAGGAAATCGAACGAATCGTTCTGATTGGGGAGTTATAGTTCCTGAAGTCACATTCATGGAACGTTGAGATCGCAGTTGATTCGTATGTTTTTCCCCATTTTTTTGTCCCAGCTCCTCCCCCCCAAAATATTCCTCCCCCCTTTCACCACCCCCTCCCCCGCTCCACCCCCGCACTAGTTTTCAACGTTCCCCCGCATTGCCTTCTCCACTCCTCCACGGCGAAGTCCCGGGACTCCATTGCGAATTTGTCGTCTGGTTTTCCAGAGGGTTCTGCTTTCTCCCTTCGTCGTCGGATACTATTGGGAGGTGGAAGGAAGTGAGGTGAAGTGAAGTGCATCATTCTCTGGTTGCTTAGCAAACGATCCTGTTGTCGTTTCGTTATCCCCCCCGCTCTCTTTTCTTGCTGCCGGCGGTATTCCTGTCTACGTATCGCTGCCTAATACGAATATTAAGGCAACAACCTTCCGCGTTGCTTAACATATCCTACCCCCCCCTGCCTGGCTACTTACCCGCGCACGTTTCTCAAAACCATTATCAGAGCCTCGTTTTTTTCTGCTTGCACTTTCCATCTCACTTGAACACATCTCTATCTTGAACATCCTTGACTATCGCACCTCTCCGACGGGAGGGGGAGGAAATAGAGAACAAATTATTCTCTTTTAAAAAACAATCATAATCCTAACATGTCACGACGATTCAACAGGTACTTTACCTCGAACAATTCTTCGTCGACAATGCCATCTTCAGCTGATCCGGCGCTGAGGAAGGTATTCGACCAGTTCCGAGGTACAATACAGCCTCCTCTCCTAATTTGAAGAACGACACGACAGCTAAAATACAGAACCCTTCAATACAGAACCCGGCGACCCGGAGGATACTATGACGGTTAACGGCGTCATGAAATTCCTTCCGGTAATTGGTGTAGGCCTCGAAGAGGAGACAGTCCTCGTCCTCGCGGAGGCTCTGAAAGCCCCAACAATGGGTGAATTCACACGGGAAGGATTCGTCGAAGGGTGGAAGGCTCTCAAGTGACCCCCCCCATCCTGCCTACCTCCGTTCCCCTTGGCTGACAAAAATACCAGCTGCGACACGCTCGAGAAAATGCGAGCCAAAGTCCCCGCTCTCCGTACCTCCTTCACCCATGACGAGGCAACTTTCAAAAGGGTTTACTTGTTCACATACAACTTTGCCCGCAACCCGAATCAGCGCTCACTGCAAATGGACACCGCGATCGAATACTGGAAACTCCTCTTCACACACCGCTTCCAGAAGAACCTGGAGGATTGGATCGAGTTCTTGGAGACCGAGTATAAGAAGAGTATTGCGAAGGATACTTGGAATTGCATGTATGACTTTGTACAGTTTGCTGATAAGGATCCAGAGTTGAGGAGTTATGATGTTGATGGTTAGTCCATTCCCCCCTCCTTCCCCTACAGTTGGTCAGTCATGGTGGGATTAACCAATGGCGGTGGTGGTAATGGGGGAAATATAGGCGCATGGCCGTCGATATTAGATGACTTTGTCCAATTCTCGCGCAAGAAGAATGGAACGGAACAACCTTCTCAAGAGGAGATGGATACTTCGTGAAATTCTTGGTGCTTTTTCTTAGTCTATTCATTTTAAATCTTATCCCGGTTTCCATCTCTCTCTCTCTCTCTCGTTCCTAGCTCGCTTCTACAATTAGCTATCGTATTTCTTCCCATCTATTTCCATCTCTCTCAATATCCGCCTCCTTTTCTCTGTTCATTTCGTAGGATGGGTATAGAATGATATTTACATCGCATGGTATTTATTCGTTATTCATACTTCATTGATGGGTTAGGTTTCCCCCCTAGGCGATTTTTATTTCAGAATTTGTGAGCAAGTGTGCTTTGGTGGTGGGGATGGGGATGGAGGAAGGAGAAGTTGCTTTGGATTCTATATAATTGCAATGGCACTTTACTTACTGACAAAATACCCAGTTACATAAAGCAATAACATCGATACTCTCTCATATTTTTTACTCACCTATTCTTTCATTTACCAAAACTCCACCGGCCGCCCCGGAGGAACAAAGATAATCCCAGCTTTTTTTTTCTTTTTTGCATTTCAACCCCCCGCCCCACACCAAGCTACCTACATTTGCCCCCCCCCCCTACATCAGAATGCAAAAGGTAAAGGTTAAAATAAACATTCTCGAGTGACATCCCATGAGCCCATTACCGTATACCTGATGAACTAAACGAATTATAACGAAAATGGGTGAAAGGAAGAAAGAAAGAGAGAAAGAGAGGATGATACGCTGGGAAGTGAAGGGAGGAATGTCCTTTTTGATGCGAAAGGGAGGGAGGAAGAAGGAGGGGGAAGAAAGGGAAAAAAAAAGACCCGTCTATGACCGTGATATGATATGAGTAGTAATAACTGAGGAAGCCAGGCAAAGCCAAGGGGAGGGGGTAGGGAGGGAAGAAATGATAACAAATGATTAACGCTATACGGTTTCAGAGAAGAGGGGAAAAGAAAAAAATTGGAATAAAGTAAAGAAAGGTAATTTCCGCGGGCGAGGGTAATGCAGATGAACTGAGCGGAGCGGAACTGAACCAACGACAGGCACAGCTGCCACAGACACAGCTGTCAAAGCAAGCAATAGTATCATGGACCTCATGAAATATTGTGTTGGGTGGGTAAAAGGTGGGTCAGTTTAGCAGCAAAGATGTAAAGTGAAAGATATGTAAGAATAGTCACCACCCAAACCGAAAACCAACAAATTGTAAAAATAAAAATCACCCCCCCTCAACATCACTATCGTCATCACAATAGACAGTTTTAGATAGATGAAGCGGGAGAGTGTGTGTGAGGGAGAAAACAAAGGAAGTGAGGATGTGATAGGCGATGGATTTTGAACATGTTCGACTTCGCCGCAAGGTTTACTTTCGAACATACCACACAAGGCTTCTGTTTAGGCCTTGCTCCCTTCTTCCCGTTCTTAGTGAGCGCTGGGACGCGGAATGACTGGACGCATTTGCCGCAATAGCACTGTTTGATATTTTTTAGACATCTATTAGTTACCGGGCCTCAGTCTGAAGGGGTGGGAAGAGATATATATACATGACCACATTTTGACGCCCATACTTGCTCTTGCGCCCCATCTGTCGATTCGGCACCCAGCTCTGTTTGGCATTCCGGGCAGACAAGTATGTCAGTATCTTTTGGGCTCCTAGTAAACCCCTCTCTGGCTGGCGGGGGCGCTTTATAGTCTATATTTCGGGCCCTGGCGGCGTCTTCAATCACTGGTGAGTCCTCACGGATTATTCCAGGGACACGTTGGTTGAAGTCTAATCGTCCGGGTGGCTGGAAGCCACGGTCTATTACAACGGGGCGGTTTCTCACAGGTAAATTTAGGTTGTTGATTGCTCGTGGGACAGCGCCCCTAACGCTGTGGAGCAATTCCATGACACCACGGGGTGGGGGATAGGTTGATCCCATTGGGTTGTATCCGCCCACGGTGATCCTGTTAGAAGGCCCCGGTCCTACCATTCCCCCATGCCCCAGCATCGGGTCGTCGGCCTGTGGATAGAATCGGCCTTGGAAGGAGGCGTCCGGTCCGACTTGACTGTAAAGCGCATTGGGCTCAACTGGTCTCGGGGGTGAAATTCGGCGATGGGGACTCAAGAATATTCCATTCCCACCACCGACGCCTAACAAATTCTGTGCAGCATCTCTAGCGAAATATAGAGCCATCTCTTCGTCGTACTGCTGTCCCATCCATTCGGCTTGACCAAATTGTGGTATAGGAGGAGGGGCCGGGGGCGGAGAGTCCGGAAGAGCATCAACATCAATTACCTCAGCTCGCCCAAGGTTAAGGGGAGGATGATGGCCAGACCGCTCAGGTCTCGGAAGTGGTGGGGGAGAGTCTGTTAGATCGATTACTGTTTGTGAGGAAGAAGGTTGGGGAACTCCATTGCGGTTTGCTGGAGACGGGCGTTGCTGAGATGGGTAGCCCAGTGCATTTCCCGGCAGAATCAAACCTGAACCAGCGATTGTTGTAGTTGCAGTTGGGGATGTGGCGACGGTGGAGGCGGAGGAGCCCGACGAAGGGCCTGCCTGCATTTGTTCCCGACTTCGCTAAGGAGACAGAAATGAGACAATTTGCATTAGCGACTTTCAAACTTAACTGAGCGGGGAGTGTATAGGTGGTTAAACAAATGGATCGTTCAACGGACCTTGCGGACTCGTCCTGCGTTTGGAGGGGGTCGACGAGAACGTTCTTCCGACATGATTGGGTCCACACTTTTAGCGGAACCTTGTCTGGTGTGATTGTCTCTTCTCCTTTGGTGGGAAAAGATGGCGAACTTGAGGAGAGCGAAGAACGTGAGAGAATAGATTAGGGAGTTCGTATGGTGGAAATAAACGTAGGAGAGGGAGGAAGAGGGAGAGAGGGAGAAGATGGTGGGGCGGAACAGATGTCGGTGCTCTGGGAGGATAGAAAAGACTGTTGTTGTGTCTTGAGAGTATGAACATACTACCTACCAGTACAAGTAGACCCTGAGTGCGCTTGAATTACGAATCTCTGGGGCCAATCCGAGGAATAAACAGTTACAGGTACAACCTACGGTAATAAGGTCAGTAATTTAAACCCATATTATCATATATTATTAGCCTTATTAAGAGCTCTGTGAGGTTAACGGGGACGATGGGGGGTGACGCCGAATAGGTGCTGGACCTTTAAGCGTGCTTTGCACGAAGCTTTTAGGGTAAACGAAAGGTTGCAGTACTCGTACGGTACAAGTATGATAGGTGTTTTCTTTTCTTTTTTCTTTTTTTCCCCGACGACACCAATTAATCATCCTTTACAACAAAGAAGGTCACAGGACACAGTGCGCTAACCAGGCTGGACACGGCGTCGATAACGGGCATTCGTGAGGCCGAAGCCGTATATCAGGATATATCATCTGTAACAGAGAAATTAGAAATTTTGTTGATAGAAGGTACTGAGTGTGGGCTGGTGGTGATGTGGTTGAGCCCTGAAGGTTGCTGTATTTGAGCAGTACTTACAGGTACTGTATGGAGGGGCGACAACAACAGAAGGGTGCGAATCCTAAGTTACAAGTAATCAGGGTCACTATGCAAGACTTTCTCCAATTAAAATACGTGGTATCTGGATTCTAGCATGATCAAGCCGAACCGAGACTGGGGACTAACCACTGTTGGGCATACTAGGTTCTAGTGTTGTAAGACAACTATAAAATATCTCCCCAAAAGCCTCAAAGGTATATATAGTCTATAAAGGTCGTGGGAGCGAGCAAGAGTGAGTGAATTTCTCCGTTCTTATCATACATGTAACATCACAGTTTGCTCAAGAAATGCACATCGAAACCTGAGAAATGGTAGGGGGAAGAAGAAAAAATGAAAAAAAAATAACAGTCTCGTAACGCTGCTTTAATGTTACAGGTGAAAAGAGAAGAGCAGTTGCTTTATTGGTTTTTGGTAGAAAGGGAGAAAGGAAAAGAAAAATGGGACCAGATTTCCTCTTCGACATTACGATTCCTCTCCGATCCCTAACCAAGTCAAAACTCCTTGCGAATCGACAGCTACCAAACTAGCCGCGTTATTACCCCAAGCGGTGGAAACAGCTGAGACAGCAGTTCTAAGAGGTTCGGACCAAGATTTGGTAGATTTCGAATAGGCCTGTACACTGATTCCGGCTTGCCCACCAGTTGCAAGGTACTGGCCAGTGTAATCCCATTTGACTGTGTCCACCCTGCTACCGATATCCAGGGCCTTGGTTTGTGTTATCTTTCTCAAATCCCAGATCTGAACATCGGTCTTGCCCTTCAAAGCAATCGCCAACCAGAACCCGTTTTCAGAGAAGCTCATAGAGGAAACAGTACCGCCAAGCTTGAAATCTGCACCGATAACAGTGGTGCGAATGTCATAAATAAGAGCGGAACTTCCAGTCCCAGTCGCGAACAGGTGCCCATCAGGATGGAAATCGGCGGTGGAAATTTCTACGGAGAGGTTAGAATCGTTTGTGTTTCTAAATGTATAATCACCCCAACAGGTAATAGAACATACCATCTTCCCCGTAAGCCTGAATAACAGGTTTCGATGCCTCCAGATCGTAGACAACCCAGCTCTTATCTTCGCCAACAGAAGCCAGAAGGTCGTCCCTCGGGTGAGTAGCCAAAGCCTTCAGTCCGCCAGAATGGGCTTTAATGGTAGTACTATCACTTCCCTGTTGATCCCACACCCTGAGTACACCGCCCGCACTCGCCGTAATTGCATTTCTCCCGGCCCAGGCAACATCAACGATAGCGCCGTCGGAGGCATTAAGAATAGTTGCCAAATCCTCCTGAGCAAGCGAGTAAATTCCGGAAGACCCATTAGCTCCACCAACAAGTGTGAGTTCGCCAGTAGCATCGAGATCAAGGGAGCTGGCGCCAGAAAATGGTGTTTCCAGTGTACGGAGGGTCTGGAAAGTCGAAACACTTTCTGCATCGGTCCAACCTTGTGGGATAGCACGTTTCCTCCTCGAAGCAGACAATCTTCAACGCAGTTATTTACGATTCCATCCTTCAGCAAGAGGCGACGGGGGAACATACTGTTTCATGGTCTCATCAATTCTATCCCTAACGTAACTCGGAAGACCATCTTTATCAACCTCCATTTCGTCAGGGCCACGACTCGATCTCGACCCAGTAACAACAGACAATTGTGCGAGTGCCTCTCTTGCTTCATCTCGCTCTTTGGTAACTCTCGCGATAACTCTGGTCGCCGCATCGTTCTGGTAAAGTGCCGTTGAAAGCTCTTGCCTAGTTTGGACGAGCTGGCTGCGGAGCTTGTGAGTCTCAAGCATGATGGAGTCCCATTCGTCTTGAAAAGAAGTAAGGAGCGCGGGTATAGAGGTAAGTGTAGGAGGTCTCGGACGGACAATCTTTGAGGCTGCAAGGTAAAATGTTAGTCAAGAACATCGAAGGGCAATGAAAAATAGAAAAACAAGTTGGGGGGGGGAATCAAACATTTAACTTCAATCAGATCAGCAGTATTCAAGTCTTCGCCACTGACAGGATCGGTGCCATGCTCGTCAATGTAAGCCTCGATCAAGCGCTTTTCAAAGAGGCTGCCAGATTTCGAAGAGACGACGGGAACAGTTGGCGCTTCACCGGAAACTAGAAAAAACCATAATTATTAGCAATTGATTCTTCATGTAAATAATATTAGTTGATACGACATACTTGCGCAAAACATTATGTTCTGTGCTGATGGGAGAAGGGTTGTTAGATAGTTGGGGAATATTATAAGAACCGGTGTTCGACTCGAGAGGGTGACTTGAGCTCTCGTGTTTGTGTGTGTGAACAAGGGGTTTGTTGATTTTCTCAGCCTCATATAGTGATGATGTCTTGGCGATGGCTGAGGACTTGGCATGATTATTTTGACTTGTCAACTTTGCGATCATTACCGTACCCTAACTTGGCATTGAGCTCAAAATTTTATGATACGGTTACTGCGATCATGGGAAAGGGTATGGCTTCTAACATGGCAACACGGCGCTGCGATTCCATGGCCCACAATCTTACATCTGCCAATAGCCTTGTTGCACTACACTTGCGGAGCTTACATTATTTTAAGAGCCAGATATCTCGGCTGCTACCCCCACCCAATGCGCACAATTTTCCGATAACTTCTGCTCTACGGGACTCCCCTCGAGTGAGGAAAAAAGTGGGACAACTGCATTCCCCACTAAGAAACTGTGGTATTCGGAATAATCACCAACCCCTTAAAATATTTAAAATTCAAGATATTGCATAGAAAGCTTCAATTACCTCTAGGAATTACCTACATGGATTTGAGAGAGTTTTTTATCAAATGTGTCTCCTTTGATAACCACCTCATTTGAAATTGCCTTTCAATACCATGCCCGACAGGGATATTTTGGTGTGGAAACAAAAAATCTTTAAGTCTCCACCCTTCTCACAATAACTGGAAGAGTAGGAGTAGAAATGATACCTATATTCCCAAAAGGTAGAGAGATAAATTGGAGAAGCAATAAGACCAGTCAATGAAATTATTTTCACCACAATGCCAAAATCCAGTTTGATATTACTGTGCAAAAACTTACTATCTTGGTATGAAATAAGTATTTCCCACAACCTTCTTCACTAGAGTGACTCAATGCATGTCGGCCAAAAGTATATGCGCAGTGCAGACTGAGATCTTCTTATTCAAAGGCACCAAAGCTAATCACATGCCTGCCATGGGGCCATCGACATGGCAGTTGTCACCAGTAAACACAATCTTCGGCATGGCCGAAAGTCCAACCATACCATAGCAACCGAGATATATGCTTGGATGCCGTCTGAAAAGCAAAAAAAAAAGACTTCGCCCAGCAAACGTGGTCACTCCTACACCCCGCGCTTGGAATACGATACCCTGTGTAACACCCCACCAGGGCTAACCAATCCCACCATGTCCAAGCCTCGTAGTGAGCTGTCTTTGAGTGATGGTATATATTCCTTCTCGTTAAGAAATATGATATATAGGCACTTGAAAAACCCACATCCTTCCCTGAGCTATTCCTTCATTTCACCACAAACGCCTCAGCGCCATGGCACAACCAAAAGTCCTCATAATTGGCGCCGGCATAACGGGTCCCGCAACTTCCCTCCTCTTGCGCTCCCTCGGCCTGCAAGTCTCAATATATGAACTCCGTCCCTCCCCCTCCCCTCTCGGTGGGGCAATAAGCCTCGCCCCGAATGCCCTCCGCATCCTTGACAAACTCGGCGTCTACGAAAGGTTGAAAACCCTGGGCTGCAGCGTAGCGATAACGCAAGTATTATCAGCGGGTACTGGTAAAGCTTTGGGCAGTTTGAGTTTCGGAGATAAGTCTCTGCACGGATACGAGAGTCTACGCATACCCAGGCGGGAGTTACAAAATGTGCTCCTGGAGAGAGCGAGGGAACTTGGCGTTGAAGTCGTATTCGGGAAGAAATTGGTGGAGGTGGTGGAACAGGAGAATGGGGTAATTGCAAAGTTCGAAGACGGGGGAGAAGAAGGGGTGAGGGGGGATTTGCTCCTCGGCTGCGACGGTATACATTCTGTCGTTCGGAGTAGGCTGGTGCAGAGTGATAGACTCCTCGTGTATACTGGAGTGGCGGTGTCCTATGGTGTTGTTAAGAAGACAGCACTCACAGCGCCGATTCCTTTCGATACGACTGGGTTTTTCAATGGAAGGTGTGGGTCAATTATCGCTAGTTATTGCGATGCGGCCATGACAGAGGTGTATTGGGCGGCTGTTATGGAGGTTCAGAACCAAGAGTCGAAGGATGGGTGGAAGGCCGTAGGTGAAGATAGAGACGCGGTAAAGAGGGATGTGCTGAAGAGATTCGAAGGGAGCGCTGTGGGGTGTATTAAGGAGCTCATTGAGGAATCCGAAGACGTCTACTTATACCCTGTGTGGAAGTTGGGACATGGCGGGAACTGGCATTCCAAGAGATGCGTGCTGCTTGGGGATGCTGCTCATGCGGTGTGTTTCTTCTTCCGCCTCTTCTCCTATTCTTTAAGAGAAATTACTAAGTGGGTAATACAGATGCCGCCTCATGGAGGAAGTCAAGGCTTCAGTCTTGCATTAGAAGACGCAGTCATCCTTGCTCGCCTCTTCGAGAAAGAAGGGCTAGACGACCTGGAGAGGGTATTTGTCCGATTCGAAGAAGTCAGGAAGCCAAGGGTGGATAAGATTTACATACAGGCAAACAAGAATTGGGAGGGTATCAAGGACATCGGATGGTTTGCAAACATGGTCAAAGAGTTCTTTATGTGGATTTATCTGATATTCTTTGCAAAAAGTGTGGAGGAGTCCTATATGTATGATCCGCATAAAGTGGAGATATAGTTCCTTCTATACCATAATTCACCTTGTTTAATGTCAGTAATTTCACTGAATTAATAGCTATGTCTGCGAAGACCACCTACGGTTAAGCTGGTTTCCCAGCCCAGCGAGCCCACCGAATCTACTCTCGTGACGCACAGCTTACAGTGACAAGGGTCTAGGGTTAGGGCCCCCCTCCAACCCCTCTTGGCAACAACCCAGCCCGCCAAACACAACTTATGATGCGACAGCTGCCTGTACGAGTAGACTAATAGCGTAACTAGTCTCCACTCCATCAAACCCACCAAACACCTCGCCAATCGCCACGAAAGCAAAAGAATAATCGAAAAATGTCAGACGCCGACGATACCAGTCCGATCCAGGAGCCCCTTGACCTTGTCCGCTTATCCCTTGATGAGCAGGTATTCGTCAAACTACGCGGAGACCGGGAATTGAGGGGGAGATTACATGTTTGGGCTCCCACTGTTTCTGCTTGGGGAGTTATATTATCACACAAAAAAGTACTAAAGGGGGGAGGGGGGCGGTGATGAATTAGGCTTACGACTCACATTGCAACCTTGTCCTTGGAGACGTTGAAGAGACGATATATACTGTTGGCGATGATGAAGAGGATGATAGTGTTAAGGTTTGTTTGCTTGTTTGCACTAAGTTGGGGAGGATGTGATGGTTTGGGATGGAAGCTAATGGGGGAGGATAGACAATCAAAAAGCAATCGGAGATGTTGTTTGTTCGAGGTTTGTTCCACCTTTTTCTAAGGTGTGGGGGCGGGGAGGATAAGGCTGATGATTGGAACCGGATCGCAGGGGACTCGGTTGTTCTAATATCGCCGCAGGCGCAGTCATAATGCTTTACTTTAATGGGATACGATCAATGGAGCGAGCTACGGTTTGGGAAAAGAGGTTAGAGTGGAGATCACCGCATGAGGGGTTTTTTTTTCCTGCTAGTTTTTCCGGAGTATCTATCTGCTAGGCTTCATACAGGGTATTTTTCCTCTTCGAGATTCCAGATTTGAGAGCGAAATAGACACCTCTCAGCTCTTGATTACGACGAATGAATATAATGTGGATAAACCGTAACTCCCCAAGATTAGACGTCTCCTATAAAACAGAAATCCCCAGAGCATAGCATAATAGTTTATCATAAGACACCAGCCCGCTTCATTACCGCTTGGAAATCATTCCTATGAGGGGTCAGCGGTGTTTTTTCGATCATAATGGGGGTTACCAACAGGTCCACGCCTCTACTGATCTCCTTTGTGCAGGCTACCGCGAGCATCTCCCTTAACTGATCATCCGTAACATCTTCTTTGAGTCGCTCAGCAACACGCCTCAAGTGCTCCATAGTGATAGGGCCGGGTTGGCCGGCAGTAAATATTTGGAATGCTTTCTCGGCTTCTTGATGGACGTCTCTATCTATACCACAGACTATCATTATGACCATCCCACCACACCTTCACGTAGCGAGGAACAGGAGGCAAACCTTTCAACTTCAACGACGCAACCGGTAGGAACCTCTCATAGGTGACCCAGCCCTCGTCATCCGGGTCGACAATTTCGAGTATCTCGTTCATTTCCTCTTTTGAAGACTCGAATCCCATGCCCCTACGGTATTACACAGTCGCTATGGTCTTCAATAAGGTACAGTGTATAGGATCAGAGCTTACATCAAGACTCTCCTAACGTCCTTTGCGGCAATCACTTCTTCACCAATGTCCTCTGAGGCGTCCCCGTCAACGTACATTGACCACACCTCTGCGACCTCTTCTTCCTCTTCGGGTGTTAGATCTAGCTCTACTAATAGCTTTGAAGCTCTGCTTGCGCGAGAGCGTTTCTTCGGAGGCTGTGGTTGATATGATATGTCAGCTGTTATCCACACAGTGGCAAACATAACACAGAAGGTGAGAAAATACCATTTTGTGTTGGAGAGGTTGGTAATTGCTAGTGTGGGGTCTGATGTGTACGAACCACCGAGCTTGGGCTGAGTAACGCGAGAAGCAAGACTTGCTTAAAAATCTGATGGCGATAAGATAAGATTAGCGGGGCAGCCGGATTTCGGAGAAAAATAAATTTCGTTTTCTTGCCCCTCCATTCGCTCTCTTGCAGCGACGATTCCTCAACACCACAACCGCTACCAAAAACTACTGCTATAAAATAGGAAAAAATGGATCTAGATACAGTCCAGCTTCCAACCTCCACTGGGAAGGCTCCCATAGCAACGTATGCCCCCCCCACCTTCTCACCCTAGGTCCAAAAACTAAGACACAAGCTAGAGTCCTCTGCGCAACATGCGGTGCCCCAATCGACGGTTCAACCGGTGTAGCAATGTGCTACGACTGCATAAAACTCAATGTTGACATCTCCGACGGTATTCAGCGCGAAGCCACGATCCACTTCTGCCGCGGCTGCGATAGATGGTTGCAGCCACCCACTCAATGGGTCTCCGCAGCGCTCGAGAGCAGGGAGTTGCTCGCGCTGTGCCTACGGAAACTGAGGGGCCTGGCGAAGGTCAGGATTATAGATGCCAGCTTTATCTGGACGGAGCCCCATTCGAAGAGGATTAGGGTCAAGATTACGGTCCAACAGGAGGCGTTCCAGAGCACGATCTTGCAGCAGAGCTTTGAGGTTGAGTATGTTGTTGCTTACCACCAATGCCCCGATTGTGCCAAATCTTTTACTGGTGTGTGGTCTTTGCCCGTGGCGGGTGCATGAGTGTTAACGGTGGTCTCATAGCGAATACTTGGAGGGCGTGCGTGCAGGTTCGACAAAAGGTCCCGCATAAGAGAACATTCTTGTACCTTGAGCAGTTGATTTTGAAACATAATGCTCACAAGGATACCATAAACATTCGGGAGGTCAAGGATGGGCTTGATTTTTATTACTCACAAAGGAATCACGCTACGAAGATGGTGGACTTTTTGGGGGCGGTTGTCCCGATCACTTCGAAGAAGTCTTCTGAGTTGATTTCAACAGATATCCATACCAGCACTAAGTCCTATAAGTTTACATATTCCGTTGAGCTAGTTCCTATCTGCAAGGACGACCTAGTGTGTATCCCGATCAAGATGGCAAGATCACTGGGAAATATTTCGTAACTCCTCTCGTTCCCCCCAAAATTAATTTTTTTTGGAAGGTTGCTAACAAACAAAAAAACCAGCCCCCTCCTCCTCTGCACCAGAATCGGAAACTCCATCCACCTGATGGACCCTGGCACCCTCCAAGTGGCTGACGTCCAAACCTCCGTCTACTGGCGCGCTCCCTTCTCCTCCCTTGCGGATGTACAAGAATTGGTAGAATTCATAGTCTTAGACATTGAGCCCTCTGGCCCGACCCACGGCCGCTTCGTTCTCGCAGACGCACAAGTCGCCAGGGCATCTGACATGGTCTCTAACACCCAAAGCTACCTCGTCCGCACACACCTTGGCGGCATCCTACATCCAGGTGATTCGGTCCTTGGCTACCATCTCAGCGGTACAAACTTCAACAACCCGCAATACGAAGACCTAGAACGCACAGTACCAGGCCAGATTCCGGAAGTGGTGCTTGTGAAGAAGAGTTATCCGCGGAAGAAGAAGAACAAGAACAGGAACTGGCGCCTTAAGCGTATGGCTCGCGAGGAGTCGGATATGCTTCCAAGGAAGCAGGACCAGGAGCGCGCCGAGAGGGACTACGAGATGTTCCTTAGAGATGTTGAAGAGGATACAGAACTTAGGGCTTCATTGGCATTGTATAAGAACACGAGGAAGAATCCGCCCAAAACACAGAGGATGGAGGGGGTAGAGATGGAAAGTGTACCGGAAGAAAGGGCAGAACCAGGGAGCGAGGTGGAGCAGGATGTCGAGGATGATGACGGCGACGACGGCGATCTTCCGGAGATTGCGATAGACGAATTATTGGACGAGTTCGAGGAGATGCATGTGCAGGACTGATTGAAAGCTTATCCTTGGACTATATTCTGTATCATCCGAAAATTTTGCGAGGGGTGGGAGTGTCTGCGGTCTTGTATAATAGCTTGCCTTTTTCTCTTTTCTTGCCTTCAAGTATTATCTGGTTCTACTTTTTGTTGTGGAAATTGCATGGGCTCTTCTTTTGTGATTGGTTTTGTTTACCCCTCGGTTTCTTGCGTAGGAGTATCAATCAAATGCCTCCCTCGTCGAATCCCGTGAGATCCACCATCAGATGATCAGCAGGAATCGACCCGTCATCCCAGGATAATTCAAGTTTAATTTGACATTGTTACGATGACAGAATCGCCAATACCAGTTTACAAGAACCAACATGTCCTGAAGGCTGAACCCGTAACCGTATCAGGAAAATTCTAATCCTCCCGGGGACCTTTGTCCCTTATATAACAGAAAACGGTCGATCCCACTAGATATCACGGTACGACAGCGCACGAGTAGTGATATCGTCGCATTCACGCCTTTTCCGTTAAGACAGACATCATACCACCACTACAGGTCAGTCAAGACCCACACGACACAACCAACCCGCTAAGTATGAACACCATAAACCACCCCGCAGTCACCAACCACACAGTCAAAAACCCGCATCGCTAAAAGCGCGCACTGCCGTGGAATACCGTACTCGCACCGTACGTACCAGCAGTATACAAGTGTCATGTGTCATTATATTATAGTATTCCGAATTCTCCCAAATCGAAAATCCAATCCTTTCCATTCCTAACTGTACTGTACTAGTACCGTACTAGTTAACAATTCCACTCCAGGATAATACGGCACCATGCACATGCAGTACCCCGTACCGTACGGTGCCGTAGTCTACTCGTACTTACTTACAGTGCACAATCAGACTATTCTAGATGGGGGGAGTGCAATATGTACTGTACAGTACTCGAGTAAGTTACTGTATTGAACGATCTCTCACATGTGTTTGCGGGCAGGGGTGGCGGTAACTTGCAGTTTACCGGGGTTTAGACTATCAAAAGTAATTTGTACGAGTAATTGTGTACTGTACTAACTAGTAGAAGTTCGAGGAATGTGTGTGTATCGTAGTGTAAAAAAAAACTCCAGAGAGTGGCTAATATTGGCTATGATGGTATAATACAGTACCGGTTTACTGTAGACTACGGTGGCCGTCGCTGGAGGGGTGCCCGGAGTAGTACAGTATATAGTATGATACTACAGTGAAACCTCCGTTATCTCCAGATCTTCGGGAGACTCGAGTCCATAGAAGTAAAGGAGGTATGGAAAGTGGGGAATAGGCTTGGCAAGAATTAGGGCTGCTGGAAGGAAAACGAGTGATAGTTCATGATGGCGGAGATCTCATATTTTTGCCCACTGATGGATCCAACATTCCTCGGACTTTGATTCTAAATACAAATATTGCTATTCAGATCTCTATCTAGCTATGAGTCGCTCTGTATACCACCTCGCTAAACCTTTCACATCCCTAACTGGAGGAATCAATTCTCCGCTGGAGTAAAGTATGATAAAATACTTTGTTGAACTGTGGACTCACGAAGTTTCTGAATCCTCCATACTTTCTCCAACTCACAAAGGGTTCCAATTGCTTTAAGCCCTGCCTCTGGAACAGTGTGTAACGATCCCTCTCTGGATAGTTAATGCTTGGCGACGGGGAACGATACTTCTCTTCCTGTCTTCTTCTTCTCTTTGTCTTACGATAGCTCTAGGTCTCTGCCTACGTTACCGATAGTACAAGACCCTTGTCTTTTACTGGGAACACCTATCGTAAGCTTTCTCTAACTCTTCTTCGTAAAGCGCCTTCTTTGGCGTAACGATAACGTCGCAATAAAGATAAAGATCGCAAAGGTGTTTTATATTCGTTAAAGTAATAAGTAGGAAAAGTACTTAGAACAAAACGTGAAGAACCTATCTTCCTCTGCCGCATCGGCCTCCTTATATAGTGTTCTTCCCGCCTTTAGTCATATGACCTAAAGTGGTCACATGTGCGAAACTAAATCATAACAAACTAGTCATATGACCAAAGTGATCATATGCGCAAAACCCATGACCTCGTAGCGAGGTCATGTGCAAAAACTCATAAACCAATCATAACGCAATAAACAAGTCATATGACTCGACTGAGTCATATGCACGAAACCCATGACATCATAATGAGGTCATGTGCGAAACATAAATCATATGCGCAAGGCTTACCCGTAAGGCACACTCGTAAGGCCTACTCGTCAGGCGCATGTCCCATGACTCATACTTGAGCCATTTGCGAAAGCATCACAAATCCCACACATAACAAATCATATAACCTGAATAGGTCATATGCGTGAAACAATAACATACCTGTGACTCATAACCATGTGTCATGTGAAAACCCTTTCCTCGCTAAGCCACGTTCGTGAGAACGTGTGTCGTCCTAGTTTTCTGTTACCCCGAGG